GGTGGTGAACATGATGTAATCTATGCAGAAATAGAAGTATAATGATGTACACCTGAAATTTATACAATGTTACAAACCAATGTTACTGCAATAAACAAAAAGTTAAAAAAAAAAAGTTTACATAAAGCTAAACTTTTTTTTTTTTTTTTGAGGAAGATTGGCCCTGCACTAACATCTGTTGCCAATCCTTCTTTTTTTTTTTCCCCATTTTTTCTCCCCAAGGCCGCAGTACATAGCTGTGTGTCATAGTCATCAAGTTGTAGCTCTCCTATATGGGATGCCCCCTCAGCATGGCTTGATAAGCTGTGAGTATGTGTGCACCCAGGATCCGAGTCAGCGAACCCCGGGCCCCCGAAGCAGAACCCGCACATTTAACCGCTGCACCACCAGGCCGGCCCCTAAACTTGTTCCTTTTAAAGGACTATTCTTTTGTTGTTCTTTCAGCAAATGATGGTAATAAGAAGTGGAAGCATTTCGTATTTCAATATTCTTGTCGGGTAAAAATTGGTACCTTTATGTCTGTCTCCCTTGTTTAAAAAAGTGTTTACTGGTCTATGAAACTAAAATCAGAGAAGACCGTTAGGGCCTCTGTGTTAACCTAAGATTTTATGAAGTGTAAGTGATGAAGTTCAGGTCTCATAAGTAGACTAGTAAATAGTCCTGGTACCAAGTCTCACTGTTTCAAACTAGGACCGACCCTGACAAAGGAACTAACTTTTTCTTCAAACATTGGAAAACATGATTTGGACACAAAGAGTAAACAGATTCAGCAGTGGATTGAGAAAAAATACAAAGTTCAAATTACTATAAAGAAAGGGAAGAATGCAGAAGAGCCAGAAAATAAAATAGTAAGTAAAAGCAGGTATGAGTAACTGCTTGTGTTTTTTGTTTTCTGATCTAAAAATACAATTGTAGAAAATCTGGAAAACATAAAGCCAAAGAAAAGCACCTGGTAATTCTACCTGGTGATGGCCGTAGCCTTCCAATTTGTTTTTCAAAATGCAAGCATACTGTATATACTTTTTCCATTGTAGCATATTTTGCCATGTGAAACATTCTACTTTATCATTTAAGGGCTATATATACCATTCTATTTTACAAATTGTAGAATATCTAATATTTAAATAGGAAAACTAGAAACTGTATAGATTCACTTTTTAAAGTTTGTTTTGTCTTTGTAAATGCCTATGAGCATATAAAGTCAAATTGTCTTCTGGAAAGTGTGTATCAGTTTACAACCCGAGGATAAGTTCATGGAACATCTATTTTGCATTTAGAGTTAGATAACTTATCAGCAACTGAAAGGCAGCATTAGTCTTAAGTGGTTTCAACCCTGGTTCCATGTTAGAATCACCTAGGCCTAGGTCCCAGCCCAGCCGACCTACAATCTCTAGAACTAGGTGTTTGTATTTTTCTAATCACCCCAGGTGATTCTGTGTTAGTGAGTGATGGGAACTGCACTGGGCTAACAGATGTTCTGGGATAAGGAGGTACTCTGCCAGTGCCCAAACCCACTGCTCTGTACTTTTTGTGACAGGGTAGTCTGGGGCCAAACGTAGCCCCTCAGTTCCGTGACAGAGCGGGGATTTAAAATTACCACACCTTTACTGCATTAGTTTAGTTACACGGAATTTGCGTAACTGCCTGGTTATTGTATAGGTTTCAGTCAGCTCAACCAGATATGTATGATTTGATTTAGCTAATCATTTAAGAAACAATTCAAAAATGCTGGGTTTTATGGGTATTAGAGCATTAACACTAGAAAGAATCAAAGACATTGGTTTTAAATTAATCTTTGGCTGCTTTTTCTTTTTTAGGAGGAGATATTTAATCACATACTCAAGACTATGCCTGGAACAGCTACCTTCTCAAACAGGCCACAGTCTGTTAGAGGAGGAAAAGCTGTAATGTGTGTTCTTCGTCATTTGAGCAAAAAGGAAGAGAATACATATAGAGAAACTCCAGGGACCCAGAAAGGAGACACTTTGAACAAAGAAAATGGAAACGATAGAGAATTAGATGTTCCGCATCCATGATTTTAATAAAGAAAAAAATGAGCTGGCTGGTCTGTAGTCCTTTAAACAAAGCAACCTGATCCTCAGCTGAGGGTAAGTATTGCAACTGTGGAGAGCACCTTGTCTTCAGTACAGCTCTGTGACTCTCTGTTTTTAGGCAAAGATAAGCCTTGTTCTTGTTTCTTTTTAGGAGGGATATATCCACTGAGATGAGAGGCCAAACTCCGCTTTTCACGAGAAGGTTTTACCTTTGGAAATAAGGAAAACAGATCATTAGAGCTGAAAATCAAACCTGTCTGAACTGATTTTACACTAGTTGTACAATACTCCTTTATGAGAAAGTGAAGTCCATACGATCGCTATCAGTAGAATAAGCAGTTGAAAATATTCTACATAGACTGCATCTGGCTTAAGCAATTTATGTTTTAAAATGAACAGCTTGCCTAAGTCGTCTCAACTTACTTTGAGCTTCATTTTCTTCTTGTCAGGGTCGTGCACAACAGCATGCCTAGTGAGACTTTGCTACAATGAAGAGAAAAGTTACATTTTAAAAACATTCCCACTTGGTGTCTATTAATATGAAACTCCATGAGTTATTTAAATAAACTGTCAGCCTTCTTTCTGTTATATTCCTTTGAGGGATTTGACCTCTACCTAAAAAGATTCCCCACCAGAGCAGAATTCCTCAAATCCTGGACTTAACTCACCACCTTTTCCCAGGACCCAGGTTAGGAATTTAGACTGTCTCAACCACCTGTGGCTTCTTAGTTCTTTCATAAGTACGAGGTGGGGACCAGTTCCTGGAGGAGGTTCTTTTAACTGACCACCAAACACCAGTGGGAATTCTGGCCAAAGACTTGCTGTCCTTGCTGATGCTGCTGACCACCAGCAATCAGCTCCAAGTTGTTTTCTAACGGTCTGGACCTCTGCTGAGCCAGCCTCACTTCTCTCTTCAGTCTTGATTATAATTCATGGTAAGCGCTTGTAGGAGCACCAACCAGAGTGAGTCTGCAGAACTGCACAGGTCCCTCCATTTAGTGTCATGATCTTATCAATTCCAGTCACACCAAGACCTAGACTACATTCCCAAAGTTCTATGGTCTCTGCTGTCCTTGCTGCCCACTTCCCTTCTCAATCCTGAGATGATGGCACTCTAAAAGGACACCCAAAATATCAGCATACTCTTATAAATAACAAGCGTATGGTACCATAGGCCACTGGTTCTCAAATTTAGCCCAGGTAAGAATCACCTGGAGGGTTTGTTACACAAATTACTGGGCCCTGTCCCCAGAGTGTCTGATTCAGTAGGTCTAGAGTGGGGCCTGAGGATATGCATTTCTAGCAAGTTCCAGGTGATGCTGATGCTCCTAGTTCAGGGCCACACTTTAAGAACCACTGGCATCGGCAAATCTGGTTGTTTCGCAGACTTTAAAACTTTAAGCACTACTCCTGCTAAAGCAAGAGTGGACGACGGGTTCAGAGCCCCACTCCCCCAGCATTCCCCATCTGCAGGCCCTGGGACACCATCCTGGAACCCAGGGCCCCTAGAAACCCAGCTGGAAAGCCCCAGACCTACAGGACTGCACCTGGGAGGGTGAGTGCTTACCTTCATTGCGAATGTTTTGCCACAGCCAGCATGTTCACACAGAAATGGGCGCCTTTCCTCGTGAAAAGAGAGAATGTGGCTCTGGAGATTAAACACAGTTGTGTAGGTTCTATCACAGCCTTCTCTTGGACATCGACATACATCCCTTTCTGGGGCATGAGTTTTCATATGTTGCTTCAGATAGTCTTTGCGTTTAAATGTTTTCTGGCACACTTCACATGTTATTTCCTCTGGTGGAGCAGACAGACAAATTTAGCCAATTTCTCCAGGTATTACCATATAGAAAAAATTAATACTGAATACGTAAGTAATGTATTTGATGCCAAAAACCTTATGATTATCATAAATCAGACATTTCAGGGGAAACTAACTCCAGTTTTTATTGCTTAACAGTTTGTCTCAATTCTCCCAAGTTCTTTTTTTTTTTTTTTTTTATTTATTTTTTTAAGATTTTATTTATTTTATTTTTCCCCCCAAAGCCCCAGTAGATAGTTGTATGTCATAGCTGCACATCCTTCTAGTTGCTGTATGTGGGACTCGGCCTCAGGATGGACGGAAAAGTGGTGCCTCGATGCGCACCCGGGATCCGAACCCAGGCCACCAGCATCGCAGCGCGCGCACTTAACCACCAAGCCACAGGGCCGGCCCCAAGTTCTTATATTATATAAAATCACTGTTCCCTTCCAAGGAGCAGGGGTTCTCAGCATGGTGGCTGTGGGCAAGCGGTGAAAATTAAACAGAGTCTCCCTCTTCATCCTCCACTACACAGGGCACTGTTTCCAACTGTCTCACGGAACACCGGTACCTCCCGAGATTCTTCACTTGCCAGGGCCTTTACCACTGCCGGTGTACACAGTGGCTCTCAGAGACCTGGCAGAGCTCTTCCTGAACCTGGGACCACAGATCTCTGCTCATTTGTCAAACAGCTGAGGTACGCAGCATTTCACAAAACACAAATAGAAACTCTATTATTTTAGAGCACATGTTTAATATATCACTCTTTAAAAGCACTAAATCAGTTCTATAGGAACAACTATTTGTACCATGCCATTCACATCTGCCTTACCTTTATGGGCTTCTCTGACATGTTTCAGAAGCTCTGTCCATGTCTTTGCCACAAAGGAACATTCTTTTTGACATATATAACCTATTAAAAAAAAATCAACGGGTGCATTTCCTCTTGTGAATATTCAGTGTAAACATCAATCATAATTAGAAAGGAAACATACATGCCTATATAATTTTTTTCCTACTTCCCAACAGTATTCTGTTAGTCTCAAGAGGAGGGAATAAAAACTAAAAGAAGTTTATTTTACAGTAAAACCAAATAATTGCATGGCAAGGTACTTCATACAGGCTTTTTACCTTACCGGACTTCACAAGAAAGGTGCCCTCCCCTCTCCTGCTGTTCTCGGTCAGTGGGGTATCCTGTGCATGCTGCACCCCTAGCTGCTCTCATTCCCCTGCTCCACAGCTCATGGCCCCTCTCCCTGCTCTGCTTTCTGCTTGCCTCTTTTTTCTGAGCAAAAGAGTTATGTGGTCCTCTGTCCTTGGCAAACCACCGACACTAAATCTCAGTAGTTATGTGCCCACCCCTTGGCTTCCTCAAGTCTTACCATCTAGTAAGATTCATACTGCAAAAAAGAAGTAGGGTACAGCTAAGGAAGAAAAACCCAGAAGAACCCAGAGAAAAACACTGAACAAAAATGGACATTGTGCTAAGGACTAGAATTGGATCAATCAGTATTACAGCCAACCTGAGTTTCACCCAACTAAATATCAGCTAGAAACTAAAAAGAATGAGGCTGCCCCTCACTCTCAGCTACTGGGCTCGTTTAAAAAAAAAAACCCATAAATTCTAGGGATTTGGAAATTGGAATACATCAAAAATCCCTCATGGAAACAGATAATAGATTCAAGTAGTTAGTTTAATGAAGTCTTTTTGAAAAAAGGTACAATCTGATTACTCCAAAAACCTCAAACTCTTAGCCAAGCCCTTTGAAGGCCAACAAGGAAAAGAATGGTACAGATGGTAAAGAGAAGAGGTTAAAAACAATTATAAAAAAGCAAAACTTTGGCTGGAGAAGCAACACTTTCATAAGTATAAAGCACAGCCAGGCACTTGCTGTGAGTAATAAAACATTAACTCTGAACAACAATGACAGTAGTGGAAGAACGGACAGCGCAGACAGTGCCTCTTTGGTCAGCAGTATAAACCTGAACAAGCAGAATGGTGCTTGTTCTGTTCAATGTGCCTACACAGTTCCGAGCTTCTCGTTAAGAGCACGGAATAGAGCAGAAGGCACCAAGGAGTCAAAAGAATTACACAAATATCCCCTATAGCTGGAGCGTTACTCAAAGTGGGCGCCACCAAGCAGCATCCACACATACCCTCGTGGACCTTCCCATGCCGTTTCAGCCCACTGGGTGATGCAAAGTGCTTTCCACATCCTTCGTGGGTACACCTGGGTTAACAACATGTGAAGTATTAGCCAATCCATTGTCATAGAGAACTCCACTCAGGGTAAACATTATTTTGTCCTTTTCTCCTACCAAAGTCCCCTCTTCCCACAACCAAACCAGTCATAAAAAGGAGATTTAAAGTTTAGACCTAATCATAAGTGAAATTCAACTTACTTGACCAGGCTTGGGACAAAACAAACTGAGAGAAAAAAGTCATTACTTTTTTTTTGGCTTATGTGATCAAATTAAACACTGTTTTAAACACAGTGCTTCACGACGACCATCGAGCAGGCAGTCAGATTCCTTGACGCCCTTTGCAAGTGTGTTCCAGTGTGTCCAGTCGCCCTTTCATGTTCCCCGCGAAACCCTCTCTAATGGCTAAGCTCAATTACTTTTGTTCTGTAGGAAAGGAATACGTAGTGTCTTCATAATGACATTTCATATACTTTAACAGGCTCTAACTAGTCATTTCTTAGCCCACCCTCCAAGCTTAACCACAATTGTACTAATCTCACAAATTATTATGAAACATTAAATATTTCTTTTAGAGAAACAAAAGCAAAATTAAACTTGTAAAGTGCTCCAATATGTCAGTGGGTATATACTGTACATGTTAAAAGAAAAATGTTGATTAAGAAACTGCTTCAGAACATTTGTATCCAACCTTTGCATTTCGATCTGATTCTCACCTGAAATGTAAGAGATTTTCCCCACGTAAAGTACCTACTTGAACAGTGGTTCGTTGGTATGCTGGCACTGATGGATTTTCAGCTGCTGATGTTTCTTAAAGGTCTTCTCACAAGCTTCAAAACTGCACTGTAGTAAAGATTTGTTAGGCTTGAGAAAAATCAAAGAGCAGTACATAACAGAATCCTCTCAGGATAAAAACACTGGAGATTATATAGTTGCTACTTTCACCCATTTTAGTTACTGTAAAACTCTATGTCAAGAAGTTTTAAAGAGTAACACATTTGAAAGAGCAAAAATGTTTCATCTGGGGTAGCCTACCAATAACATAGTTTAGTTAGCACAAAAAAGTGCTTTCAAAGTAAACCATTATTACGAAAACTAGTGTCAGATCAAATTGACGGACAAAATTTGGCTGATGAAGATTTTAGAAATATAGGCAATAAGCAAATATTGAGAGAATTTAAGCATATAAAATCATTCATACTTACTACATATTGCTTCTGCTGATTTTCATGTTTGCGCTCAAAATGTTTCCTCAAGTTTGATTTTGTGTTGAATTTTTGATCACAGCCACTAGCTGCACAACTGTAAGAAATTGTGTAAAGCAAAATATTAACAAACAGAAGAGAAGTTTTAAGATGCATAGCGTATATCCTCATACTTTATAAAAGCTGATTATTTCAAAGTAAAGTATAAAATAGTCTTTAACAAATTCCAAAGTGTTAAGCTGTACCACGCAGGCCTCTTAATGCTGATGTGATTATCATGTGACGTGGTGCATTTTCATGTGAGCTTCTGAAATTAAAAGCACACCGCATCAGACACGCTCTCCACGCTGGGCAGAGGGAAGGTGAGAAACACTAGTTCCCAAAGCCCAAACCTTGCTTAGGCTTCAATCATGTTTAAGTTAAATTGTTCTCAGTTTAGAATCTGATAACCTTAATTTTGCTTAAAATGTCACTATAACCTGCATTTCCAAAAGACCTCACAACAACTAGTTTCAGCTTATCGTTAAGAAGTAAAAACAGATACTTAGAGCAGAACCATAAACCATCATGCCCTGTGGCATATCACCAAGCCATTCTAGTTCCCCTTGATGAGCGTTTCTGTAGCTCGGCCTCCAATTATCTAAATTTTTTGTGAAGTTGTGTTTTTTTTAATATGTGCTCTTTTTGTGATGAGTTTAATAAGCTTGATGGATGAAGCAGGACTTCCTTTACAAGCCCTGACCCTGTCTATCATTCACTGAATAATACTCATACCAGGCACTGTGCTATCCCCAGGGCGAGGCAGGGAAGGACAGAGCCTAACAGTGCACGGTGCCAGTGGGAGATCTGCCGGAGGCCCCTGGAGGCACAGGGGAGGGGCGCTGCGGCAGAGACCGCTAAAAGTTCCAACAGGTATAGTTTTTGACCTTAGGAACAGAACGCAGAGTGGATACATGGTCAACAGAAACAGCTTTTTCCAGCCTCCCTTGCAATTAGTGGTGGCCGCATGGCTAAGTTTCTGGCCCATCCTGCTCAACTCCCACACAGTGTCTAAAAACGGGGCATACTTCTTTTGCCCCCTTCCTCCATCCAGCATCCTAATCATGCTGGAATGCTTATGCAACAGCTAGAGCTCCAACGGGCATCCTGGACCGTCACATCGAAGCCCCAAGATGAGGACGGCAGAGACAGGTTAGAAGGAGCCCAGGCCCTGAGGACTGTGGAGCACCCCTTGACTATCCTCCTCTCGTTTCTGCATTTCAGGTATGCAAGCGAAAAAGTGACTTTTGTTTAAGCCTCTATTTTTTTTTTTTTTTTTAATTTACTTTCCCCCCAAAGCCCCGGTAGATAGTTGTATGTCACAGTTGCACGTCCTTCTAGTTGCTGTATGTGGGACGCGGCCTCAGCGTGGCCAGAGAAGCACTGCGTCGGTGCACACCCGGGATCCGAACCTGGGCCGCCAGCAGCGGAGCATGTGCACTTAACCGCTAAGCCACGGGGCCAGCCCTAAGCCTCTATTGTGCTGGGGTTTCTGTCACTCTTGACTTTAATCCTGACACAGGCATCTAACCCAACACAAGTGTGGGGCAGGAGGACAGGGCCAGGAAAAGTCCTGACGGGAACCACACAGCAGGCACAGGGCATGCAAGACCCCGTCAAGGTCGGGGGTGGGGGGCTGCTGGTCAGTTACGCATGTTCCACGTCTGAGCGTCAAGCAAACGGGGCAGGATTACAGAAAGGCCAATCACAAAGGCCATCTCTGTGACGTACTACAAACCTGGACTTCATTATGTAAGCAGTGCTTAAAACCACTGCACAATTTTAGGAAGCGAAGCAACCTGGAGGGTACTGTGGGAGAGGGCCAGCCTGGAGGCAGAGAAAAAACTTCAGTCCTTCAAGTGAGGAGGGCATTCAGTGCCTGAAATAAGACAGTGGCAGCTGGAGGAGGGGAGAGGGATCTGAGGGACACGTAGCAGGACTTGATGACCTGTTTGCTGGAAAGGGTGGGAGAGAACGAGGCGTTCAGGGGAGCTGCCTCATCTTGGCTGTGGGTCACCGGGTGGCAGTGATGCCACCTGACAAGAACAAGGGAGGAGACCACAGGGAAAGCTGAGCTCAGACTGGACTGTGAGCGATTCTGGCCATGTGGAACTTAAGAAGCCAAAGAGACAGCCAAGTAACACTGTCCAGCAGGCAGCTGGACATGGGATCCGGAGCTCAAGGGAGAGCTCTGGGCTAGCAAGCGAGCCGGAGGAGATAACCATGCTGCGGTCTTGTTCCAGCGGGAAAAACCCTCACCTTTCTAATTCATCCAGTGCGTCAGTACCCAGACCCATTTTCTCTTTAAGATTTAGTTTTTTAAATAGTGTAAGTCACTTAGCTCAGAAACCAAAAAGCATAAAAGGGACACAGCTGCATGTTTCCTTCCACCCCTGCCCCCTAGCCACCCAGCACTCCCAAGACAGGTGACAACATTTTCATTTCATTTTGTCGTGTAACTTTTAGGGTTTCGTTATACAAATAGAAGCAAATATAAATATAGGTTCGTCCTGTCTACTCCCCCCGCCTTTTTACACACAAAAAGGTGGCCCTCTTCTACTCCTATTAGTGTTGCACCTAACCTTGTACGGGTATTTAATACAGGCACAAGTCTATCCGTAGAATAAATTCCCCAAAGTGAAACTTCCAGCCCTATTTTCCAGACCACGCTTAATCACTCTTTGCTAATCTAGTTGAACTATATTTTGAAATAAATGAAGCTTCACTCAGGGTCATTTACATTGACGACACACTGTGTGCTTGAACTGGGGCTGAAGTAAAGATACCCGCCGTCCTCAGGACTCTGCCCCATTCCCGCTGGCTAGCACACGGGTTAGCCGGGAGGAGACAGCTCTCCACGTGGAAAAGCCACAGTGAAGGCAATCCTGTGTCACGAACCCACCTTCCTCACACTGTCTGGAGCTTAGTGAGATGTGAGACACTTCACATTCATCACCATCTTAAAACTAAAAGAAATCAACTTAGGTCATTAGAAAACCTTACTGCTCAAGGAATTGTCTCATAGAACAAAATTATGATACCAAATTCCACCATCTGCAAAACCTGCCATACAGCTATTTCCTGGTATGGTCTCCAGCATACAGCTATTTCCTGGTATAGTCTCCAGCATACAGCTCTGGACATTTATTAAATTTATTTTGTTTTTTCAATGAAAACTAAATGTTTTCATAGAACATTTTGTTTAGTGCTTCTCAAAGTGTGGATGCTTCAACATCACCTGGGAACTTGCTAGAAATGCAGATTCTCAGACCCCACCCCAGACCTGCTGAACCAGAAACTCTGGGGTGGGGCCCAGCACTCTGTTTTAACAACCCCTCCAGGTGATTCTGATACCCTCCAAATTTGAGATCCACTGCTTTAAAGTAGCTGATTTAAAAGAAAAGCTGTACCCACACCCTTTCAGAAATAATGAGCAACTCCGAGAAGAATAAAATTAAAACTGGTATACAGAGGTATAGGAGCTTAATTTGAAGAAATACAAGATAAACTATTAAAATCTCTACTTCTTCATGGTTTTATCTTATCCCAGCAGCTTATCAGTTCATGAAGACCCTGACAATTCAGAGCCAAGAATATGCCAGGGAACCATTTTCCATCTGGTCTGAACTGTGTGTTTTTTGAGGCTGATTTCCCATTTAGTATATATTTTACAGGGAGATGAGAGGATGCAAACTCTAGAGAACTTCAGATTAACTCATTCCTGAAGTTATTACACACACACGACCCACAAACCCCCTACTCTCCTGCACACATTCAAAACCTAGTCTCCGCTCACATCAGGAGATGCAAATCAAAGCAGCTTCACATTCTTGACCTGGAGAATTTTCTTACCAGGTCTATATGCCAAACACAACCACTTCAAAGACCTACAACAGTTGACTACTTACATAAACGGCTTTTCTCCAGTGTGAATCAGGACGTGGCGGCTCAGATGGTAGTCCCTGACGAAGGCTTTGCCACACCCTTCATGCTCACAGACAAATGGTCTCTAGGAGGCAGGAAAGAAAAAAGCACATCAATCCTGCCCTAGTTAGTAGCTCTGGTATTGTTTCAAGGCCTAAAATGTCTAGTCTCCAGAGATGGTTTAGTCTCTAGTCCTTGTCTCCAGAGATGGTTTCCACTTACTAAGCACTAAGCACCTGCTCCACCATGGCCAGACAAGGTTTCCCTGCATGAAGTTACACAACATAAATGCCACAACTTCTCACAAAGTCACTGCAGATTTTGTTCTATGACCAGCATATGAAATAAGCGGCAGCCTTCACAGTGACAGTACGGCATTGTTCACCTGCTCCTAACCCAACACCGGCTTCAACGGCAACCCCCTTAAAGATGACTTATCTGCTGCTAGCATAGCCTATATGCACAGATCTCCACCACGGCGTGTTTTTATCTATTCAAAGCCTAGGGCAGAGGAACGCGCAGGTTCCGTCTCATCCTGGACAAGCCCAGCGTCTGTGCTAAGAGAATGCCTGGCACAGCTACAGGACAATGGTTCACACCTGAAAAAGCTCACAGGTGCCAGGGCAAAGCAAACAGCTCACAGCCCTAACTGGAACCACACTCGGGAGCCAGGAGATGGGAGGAGGGGACTCCGTTCTGAACCTATAGGAAAAGCGAAAACACGCCTCCCAAATAACCAGTTGTATTATTTAACTATGGAAAACATACCACAACAGTCCAGGAGGGAGGGACCAAGGCCTCAAATGACAGTACTAGTAGCAAAGCAAGTGGACAGGAAGACAGATGAGCTGTATTACCGGGGCAGATCCACAGGACTTGGCACAGCCCGTCATGGAGTAGGCTCAATAAATATTTGGCAAATTAATGTGTGAGATTTGGGACAACAAAGATGTCTCCAAGTTTTCCAGCCTGTATGAAGGAAGCTGGTAGTGCCAATATCCAAAATACAGCACACATATCTAAAAGAAAAGGTATGCTCTAATGTGAACATAGTGGTTATAGAGCCCAAAGTTTGGAGGACAGGATGGGTGAGAGGAAGGACAAGGAGGCAGAGCATAATGGATGTTATGAGTGAAGCCAGTCACTGGGTTAGACCTCAGAGAGAGCTGGGAGGGGAGGATAAAGCAGAGGGCAGAAGAGAAGCCAATGAAAAGGGTCAAAGAGAAAGAGGAAAAGAGCTAGAGAAGGTTCCAAGGAGTAAATGGTCAGCCTTCAAATGCTGGAGAGGGCAAGCATGGGAACCATGAAGACACACAGAGTGGCGGCCCATAAGTTAGGTAAGTGCGAGGAGCAAAGACAGGGACTGCAGGCACCTGGTTTAACAGCTAAGGGCCTTCAGCTGAGGCAATGCAAAAACTGGGAAATTGAGCAGATTCCTTAGCCTCCATGAGCTTCCCTTTCCTCACCTGTCATCTTCCAAAGGCTTCCTATTGCCCTCAAAATAAAACCCAAACCCATTTGTACCCTGGCCTACAAATGACCCCACCTCTCGTATGGTCCCCCACCCAATCACACTGGCTCCCCTTGCACCCCAGGACCACAGGCTCCTTGTGCAGTTCTCTCTGCCAGGGCTGTTTTTCCCTCAAATGTCTGCATGGCTAGATCTTTTACTTGTCATTAAGGTCAAGAGAGAGGCCGTTCCTGACCAGACGCCAGCAGCCCTGGCTTTACTGCGTCTCATTCCTACCCATTCCTTCCTCTGTCCCGCTTAAAGCCTAAGGTGGGTGACAGCAGGAGCCTTGCTGTTCACCGCTCTCTCCACTGCTGGAATGGTAGTGAATTATGAAAGAATGAACGCACGCTGCTTGCAAAACCTCCAGTACTTAGAAGTCATCTCCCATTCCAGTCCCTGGAGGCCCGTGCTTGCGGCAGGTGTCTGAGGGGGCAAAGGGGGGGTTCCAACCGTGCACGTATTTACGGATTATGGGGAGATGGTGACTGGCCAAGACTCTTAGTAAGCCCCGAACCCATAACAAAGACAGCTCGGTTCTAGAACTTCTGGTCTGCCTCCTCATCTCCTTCTTTAACCTAAGGCACAGCTGGTTCGCTTCTGCAGTCCAGGGTGCCAAATCGGAACACGTTCTTGCAAACCCGGCCCTGTGCACCCACGCGCTGTCCCCAGACCGCTCAGGCAGCGCGCACCTGGCGGGCCACCTTTTCACTAGTCCCTGGGGCTGGCCGCCACACCCCTCTGCGGCCTCGTTACCTCCCCCGTGTGCTTGCACAGATGCGCGTCTAGCTTCCAGGCCTTGTTGTAACTGGCGCTGCAGTCGGGGAAGGAGCAGATGAAAGTCCTGGGGAGCGCGGGGGACGGCGGGGGCGGGGCGGGGCTCTCGCCGGCCGCGGTGAACGCGTCGGCGATGGTCAGGGAAGACACCGCCTCCGCGACCGAGACCGGCGGCTCCAGGGCGCTCGGCGCCGGGAGCACAGCCACGTGCGGCGAACGGCGGCGCGCACCGGCGCTCGGCGCGGCGCCTACCGCGCAGCGCGGAGCCTACGCGTGACCCCGCCGCACTTCCCGGAGCGCGGGCCCGGCGGGACTGGAGCGCAGGCGCGCGGGCAGCAGGCCCCGCCCCACGCCGGCGCCGCGTTCGCGCATGCTCCAGGGAGGCCCTTGCCGGCTCGGGGACCTGTTGCTCTGGGTGAGGAGTGGATGCGATGAATGAGAGCCCACAGCTTTCTATTCGCCAGCATTGGGCGCCCGTGCCTTACCGGGACTACAAATCTCGAGGCACTGCTTAAGCGTGACATCTTTCCCATCCGCCACCGCCCTCTTTAAAGTACTAACCTTGCATAATTTAAACTATCCTGTTCTTACCTCATTATCGGTTCGTCTTCTTTATCGAATCTTTTCTTTGCGTGCTTTCTACATGCTTCCTCTGCAAGCCTCAGGACAGTGCTTCCTAAACCTGTCTGCACATTAGAATCATGTGGAGATCTTTTAAAAATCCCAGGCCCAGAGCATACTCCGGACCAATTAAAGCACAATTCCTAGGGGTAGGAAACAGGAATCAGTAGTTTCGGAAACTCTCCAGGTGATTCCAACGTGCAGAAAAGTTTGAGAACCACTGCCCTAAGTCCTTGCTGCTCAAAGTGTGGTGTGTGGACCAGCAGCATCATTGGAAATCAGAACCTCAGACCTACTTGAATCTGAGAGATCTCCAGGTGATTTGATGCACATTAAGATTTGAGAAGCACTGTTTAGAGGCCTAAATGAATATGGGTATCTTGGTTTATGAGGACCACAAGTTAAAAGGATGTCCTTGGATGAGGATAGCAACGACAGGGTGGATTGTCTGATGTTCCGCCAGGTATGTATTTTTCACATCTTGCGTCATTCCGAATCATTAAGCAAGCCCTTGTTTGAAGGTGATAAACAGGTCCCTGCAGAGAAGTGTAGTTTTGAAAAGAAGCCAGGGCTTAACACCTGAACTGGAATCCTCACATCATACTCACTCCTGAGCCTCAGTCTCCTCACCTTTCAAGTGGAAGGGTTTATAACACATGTCTCACGGTGTCATGAGGACTGTGAGAAGGCGTCTGGGACTTGCATCCACTTGTTGCTTTTCTTTTTTGCCACTCCAGCCCCTTTCCAGGGGACAAGTCCACATACTTCCCTCCTACAACTCCAAAAGTCTTAAATGGTTCCCCTTGTGTTGGTTCTGGCTTTCTCCTCCTCATGCCCACTGCACCATGAACATGGTGAGGCCCTCTTCGAGATCCTCCCTTCTCTTGGCCTCCTGACCCCATATGGTGTACCCATGGCTCTCCTCCTGCCTTCCTGACTTTTCCCTTCTCCTTGGCCAATTGTTCTTCCCACCTTTGTAGCTCGGTACCTAAGTTTCTGTGCTGAGCCCTTTGCTATGATGTAGTAGGAGAGCATGGACTTTGAGCCTCAGTCACCTGACTTCAGATTCTAACTCTAAATTTACTAACTGTAGGACTTTGGATAAGGTTCCTTGAATCTCTTTTCTCACCTTTAAACTGGAATGTTAATACCCACCTGTTAGAGTCATTTTTGGAATGAATGAGATTATATTAACTGACAGTTCCATTTATTATGTGCCACCCCCGTGTGAGGGACATTTCCCACCAACTTTCAGTTCTCCCAACAACTCTGCATGGAAAGCAGCTAACAGGATCCAGGCTGTGCCTTTCTTCTTCTTTTTCTTCCCTGTGAACGGATCCATTGCTCCAGCTCTTTCCTTTCTGCAGATTACTCCCCAATGTGTTTTTCCAATGGCCCACATTTCTAAATGACAAGTGGATTTTTTTTATTTTAACATCAAGCAGTCACCTCAAACTCACCAACTCAAACAATCTCGCTATCTCTATCTGGCTACACCTCCTTCCCTCTTTCTCCCTGTCAACAGGGGTATAGTTCTGTCTCCCACTCATGAAAACTCAGAACAATGGTTCTCAACCCTGGCTGCACATTAGAGTCACCTGGGAGCTTTTGAAAATGATGACACCTGAGGCCCACCCACACCAGTGAAATCAGAGTCCCTTATCCTTCTCCCTCCTCTGCCCATCACAGCCCTGGCTGACTTTTGCACCTGTCCCATCTGTTTCTGTCTAGCTTTTCTTTGTTCTGGGCCCAGACCCCTGCAACAGCCTCTCAATAAGTGTTCCTACCTTTGCCCTCCCCTGCCTCTAATCTCTCCTGCGTGTGGCTGCCAGCCTCATCTTCCTAAAACCTCTGAGACTTTCTACATTTGAGTTTGCAAGACTGGTAATTGCAAAGCATTTTTATTCCTCTTGCTATTATTCCTGCAATTCAGGTAACAGCACTCAGGTGGGCAATGGGGTCCCAATGGGCTCAGGCCCCTCTATGCCCCTTCCTCCCCTGGGAGCAATTCTTGGCCCCCATCAAGTCTGACTGCCTCTAGATGAGCCTTCGCTGACTGTTGCAACCCCCACGCGTCTCTTCTGCCTTTGAACTTTTGTGGTCCTTTCTTTCTGTAGCACTGAGTAGACAGTCCTCGAATGTGTTGGGTTATTTTTAACTATTCAGGTATATAATTCCCTATTTCCCCAGTCTTGATTTAATCTCCATAAGGGCAGAGACTGGATCATATTCTTTTTGAATCTTCAGTAGCAAGATGACTTGTACACACTAGGGACTACGTTATTATTAGTCAGTTAAATGAACATAACCATGAAACCATTGTGTGAAATCTTAAAGGTTTGACATGAACGTCCTCATCCAGGAATCTTTCGTGTGCAAGGAACATAATCCTACTCAAACTAATCCACGGGAAAAGGGATTTAGTGTAAGGATTCAAGGTAATCTCACGGCCCCAATTGCAGAAAGACCTCATAGGATGGGAGTTGTCCACAGACAGTCTGTTTCTCACTCTGTCGCTATTCGAGTTGGCTGTCCTCCTTAGCCTCCCTCCTTTGCTCTCCAGGCATCTCTACGAGGACTCCATTCATTTCATTTCCTGGGTACGTGTGTGTGCATTTGTGCCTGTGTCTTGCTAGCTCACTCACTCGCTCCTGCATGTGTTCTCTCTTTCTTCCTCCCTCCCTCCCTCCTCTTCCCCTCTCTCTCAGGCTTCCTGTCCTCACAGTCCCAGGTCTCTGATCATCTCTGTCTCTCTACTGTTTTCTCTGCAGATCAGCTTCTTCTATAAGAAGTTTCTGCCCCTGTGACGATGGTTTTCCAAGGGCTTTGGCTCAACTCAAGCAGCCCCGCCCAACTTTACATAATCTGGCCTCGAAACTCCCCATGGCTAATGACACCTGAAAGAGACTCTTTGGCCCACCTTGGGTTCATGCTCTTCCTCAGGCCCAAACAGCTTCAGCCTGGAAGGGATAAGACTGTGAGGTCTTGTAGGTCAAGCCAAAAGGTTAACACAAACAGAACTCTGGTATGCCTGTTCTAGCTAGAAAATCGTGTTCACTACTCTCAGCTTTTTATCTGCCTTTTGTTTCTCTCATGAAGGGGGCTGGAGATATTTTCCCTCTCCTTGACTCGAAGCTCAGCTGTGTGACTTGCTTTGGCGCTATAAGTTGGAAGTGACAATGTGCCAGTTCCAAGCCTAGGCCTCAAGAAAACTTGGGTATTGCTGTCTTGTGCCTCTGCCATTGCCACAGGAGGACATTTCTGCATTAGCGTGTCCCAGGAAGAAGAGGGACATGAGGAGCAAAGCCAAGTCATCCCAGCTGAGCCCAGCATAGATCAGCTTACCATCAGTTGACACTCAGCCAATCCACACATCTGTGATAATAAATGATAGGAAGCTGTTGAGTTATAGGATGGTTTATTCAGCAATTTTATGCAATAGCTAACTGGCACACTCTCTTTGCTGGTCCTTCGCTTGAGCCAATAAATATGCTCAAGGATCTCATTAAAAAAAAAAACAAACTCTTTTATGTCCCTGTGCTTCTCCTATCCATTGCATGATTTCACTCCTGCCCTTTACAGCTAAGTTACTGAAAAGAATAGTGTGTGCTCTTCTTCCTGTTTGCCTAGTCATACTTTCATCATCACCACCATGATCATCATCATCATCGAAATTGTAAGCATACAGAAAAATAGATGGATCCACTCATGGATCCACTGCCACGGATGGTGGTAGCCCTCAGTTCTTTGCCATTCATGTTTTGTCTAACTGCTTCCATTCCCAACCTTCCTCACCCATTTTTTTTGCTAGAGTATTTTAAAGCAGTCTCATCCATCATCTCATTTTGCCGTATTATCTCATTTTGTTAATTAGGTCTACCGGGTTATATATAGTATATATAATATTCTCTTCAATTCTATTATCATACCCAGCAAAATGAACAGTAGTTCCTTGAAGTCATCTAATACCTACAGACCCTCAAACTCAGCATATTCAAAACTGCTTTCCTCTTTCCCTTCCCCTCCTCCAGGGTCTTCTTGTCCCAGTGAGAGGGGCCGTCATCCACCCAGCTGACTGAACCCATGGCTTCTTCCTTCTCTTACCCCCTGCATTTATTTATTTATTTTTTTATAATTTTATTTATTTATTTTTTCCCCCAAAGCCCCAGTAGATAGTTGTATGTCTTAGTTGCACATCCTTCTAGTTGCTGTATGTGGGACTCGGCCTCAGCATGGCCGGAGAAGTGGTGCGCCAGTGCACGCCCCCTATCTGAACCCGGGCCGCCAGCAGCGGAGCGCGTGCACCCAACCGCTAAGCCTCGGGGCCGGCCCCCCCCTGCATTTATTAAATGGCCCATCACGGTTGATTTTACCTCCCCATTTTCAGTTACACCCAGGAAAGGCCCTGGTTCTTCTAGTTCCCATGAATGGCTGTGATCCCATCAGAAAAGGGGTGTTCAGGGATCAAATCAGTCCACTCCCTAACCATGTGGAGAGAATTCTGCTCAGAGACTATCCTCCCCAGAACTGCTCCAGATCTCCCCCGTTCTCTCCTCGTTATTCCAGCGGGCCTTAGGCCTTCTAACGCTAACAAATATAGTACTAAAGAAAAAGAGTGTACACAGTAGGATTAGAAGGGAGAGTCCTAGAGTCAGGAAGGCACACTAAGAGGCCATTATCATCAGCAGAGAGTGAGGTCCAGGCTTGAGGTGGTGACCATGGGACCAGAAAGAAGGAGGCAGGCAGGAGAC